AGTCAGACCCATCAGTTTCAGGTTGTCTAAGAAAAGCCGGAGATGTACCATAGGATCATTAGACCCGACGAAACAGTCAATGTGTGGCATTTTAAATCTGACTAGGAGCCTTACGGTAGCCTCTGTGTACCTATCATTAATGTTGGGAATGGAGTTAATTCCTAGTGCCTTTTTGAATTGCTTCTCAAGGTTAGCAATTTTTAACAAGGTTAGGTCGAGATCCTTAATATCAAGGGGAAAAAGCCCCTCATTAGGCTACACCAGGGGTTTGAAAACTTGAGCTTGAGCCAACCCTTCTCAAGGATCTGGACCCTACAAATCTTCAGCTGGCGGAGGGGGTCAAAGTTCAGTTGGGGCCCAGGACTAGATGTGTGGTAAATGCCCTAGATGGGCGTTGCATTTCAGCAATGGTCTCATCTTGCATGGTAATTTCCTGGTTTAGGGCCGTTATCATGGCCACAACTTCTTCTGGACTCTGAGCCATCATGGGTCTACTAAGTTGGCAATCGGGGAAATGGATGTGCATAAGCTAAGAGCAGACTAACAAGACTTTCGACCCAGTTATACTTGATGTATCTGAACTAGATTGGTCTAGACAGGTTTGACTGGATTGGGCCTTTTTAGAATGGGTTTGTTGGCATTAGATAGATCTTTTCTGAGCTAGCTTTTAGGGATTAGATGGACTAGACCTTTGTTGAGTGGGTTTTTTTTTTGGGGGGGGGGTGATTAGGTGGACTGTGATGGGTCAAGGCTTTCCTGGTTAGATTCGGTTAGGCCTTTGCTGAGTTCGGTATTGCTCCTTCGTTGGCTTAGACAAACCTAACATTAAAAACAAATATCCCATCAAATCGAGGTATCGGGTATACTGGTCAAAACAAAGCAAGAACATTTTTTGGCCCTGGTTATGGTCTGCTGAAAATTCATCCATATCAAACACAAACCCCTGGATTTTGACCCAAATTCTGATTCTGACATGACCCTCAAGTTTAAAATGATTTGCTTCAAGAGTAAGACTCTTCCAGGATTGCATCACACATTTCCAAAGATTTCACATTTTGCACAAAAGCATTCAAAACACCCCTATGAGAGGTTAGGGTTTTCCTGTCCTAGTTTTTAGAGTGATCTAGGCTTTACTACTTCAAGCAAGTAGTTTCACAAAATCCTGCATAAGGGTGAGTGTCATGTCCTATGTTGGAACAGTCACTATGGCTTTACTATATGCAGCTAGGCCGATTAGTCAAAAGGGGTACATCTGCAAGACTACCTAATATATCTCTCACACCTAACACCAAGAAGTGAAAGAAGGATCAAGTGGTACACCGGTAGTCCATATTCGAGGGTTGTGTTTCCAACATGGCGGAGCCCACGACCAGCCAGCCTTTTGGCAAGCCTCCGGCAAGCCATCCAAGAATAGCAGATGGAAAACACAGTGACTTAAAGTAACAATGCAAAGAACATATAAGTGTAGATAAAATGTCACATCATGAAGTTGAAGTCAAGTTCTTTAATTCCCCAATAGAATTGCCAGAAGCTGTATCTTGCTTTTGTGCTCCTCGGAGGGGTTTAGTCTCCTTGGATACGATAGCCCTACAATTCGGACTCCCGCGGTTCTGAATCTGGTTTCACAGGTGCAATGTGAAACGAATAAACACAAAAGAGTCCAAATTCAGCAAATCATTTTTAGAAAATTGATTTTGAATCAAAGATGCTAAAAATGAATTGCATTGCCAGATTTCAGAGTCGCCACCTAAATATTTTTGAAAAATTTAGGAAACCCGTGACTCGTGCCCAAGGCCATTAGTTTGTCATCACCAAAGTGTCTCGGCTCGGGAACTTACATACGAGAGGGAAATGTCATGAATTGAGCACCCCACTCATCCCATCAAAGATCGGCCTGTACTAATCATGATGTGATTTTTATGTACAGTATATGCACTTGTTTCGAATATTATGCAATCTTTACTATGTGATGCACACAAGTGTAGACTAATTTGCCCATTTTGGAACACTTCGATTTCATGTTTGTTTGAAAAGTGTTTTGAATATGTAGCACTTGAAAAAGTGATCTCATATGTACATTTAATCAGATCATCCCAGCTTAAGCAAAAAGCCTTCATCCACCAGCATTCAAATAGGTATACCAGCTAAGCATTTGGCCTCATGGTAAACATACTTGACATGGCAAAAGTAACACACACAACATGCTAAAACAAGAAATGCTCACCTAGTACTTCAAGGCAACCCAAAGAAAACTGAGATAGAAAAATGTGTGATCCTAAATAATACAACATGACTAATGCAGTGCATACAACATGTAATTAATAGCCTCGGCTACTAGTATAGCATGTGAATCAATACAAGGCATGCGACAATGCACGTAATTGAATAAGGAATTGAAATTGACATTGATTAATATGATAAGTCAAACCCTTAGGTAGGCAAACATGGCTATGAACACATGGAAAATGCTAAGAAAACATGATGTTATACAACCACGATAAGCGAATAAGTAAAAGGGAGAAAGAAATGGGGGTTTGAAGATATACACACATTATTACACATTTGCCTTCGCGCAGGAGGATCCGAATGAACGTCCTAATTAAACTAACTATTACATCACCAAATAAATGAATTAACTACATAAACTAATTATTACAAATTAGAATTAAACTAGCTAATTAGTTACAATACACTAATTAATCTAAGAGCAATTATGCTAATACGAGAGTTGAAGAACCATGCACGCAATCGAGAACATCCGCCTAGAAACTCCTCTGTTCTGTTGCCTGAATTGTTCTATTCGTAGTTAGAAAATTAATCTATTTTCACTCCAACCTCTACTCTATTTTTCCATGAAAATGGCATTTTTTGATTAAAATGAGATGGCCAGCTGGCCATGGAAATTGGTCGGTCGGATGGACAGGTGGTCGGCCAGCCACTGTTTTGGGGATCTGTCCTACTATAACAGAAATGAAACAGAGCACAAATGGAGTGTTTTTTTAGAGGGTGTTTGTCCCCTATGTCTGCCCTTATCATGAAATAGATCAAGGGAGGGGTAGACTCGATTCACAAACCATCAATTGACGCAAAATCGTTACGTGATGATCTAAGAATTGATGGGACAATGTCTCAATAAATGACAAGTAAAGACCAACAAAACCTCCTCATTATCATGAGTTACCTCAATGGGTTCAATTAACATCCTATTGAACTCGACTTGATTTTATTATCTTTCACCACTTTTAGTTCCAATTTTATTGCCTTTTTAATTACCTTTCTATTCTTTAATCATTTTAGTCCGAAATTCAGAATTATGTCCACTAACGAAGAGAAATGTCAAACAAGAAATTGTTTTTGGCATGAGAATGATGTAACGCCTTGGTAATGAACCTCCGAAGGGATTAAACCATTAAGCATGGAAGGGTCTTTTTCTCATGTTTAAACAACTATTATTTGAAACAACTCTTAAACAAAGAAAACCAAGAAAAGAGGGAGGTTGCAGCAATTATTATTACAAGTGTGAGAAAATGTATCAAATTTATGAAATAAAAGCTATCAACTCAAATAGGTTGGGGTCTAAGACCTAAACCACCAAACCTATGAGGACTTACAACACTATAAGCATGATATTCAAAGAATAACTAAATAAACACATCAAAACAGTCCAAAAAATAGCCAAAATAGTGCAGGAATTAGTATGAAAAGCTAGAAAAGTAAGCTAAAATGAGAAACAAATAAAGCTAGTAAGCAATCCTAAGGAGGGGTGGCTAACCCCTCCATTTTTGGGACTTCAAAACCACATTCATTTACGTCGGTAAATGTTGCCATTTGCCGACGATTTGTTTGTCGCTAAAGCTTTACTTTTGGCAACGACAAATTAGCATTGGCAAAAAATACACTTCTACCAACACAATATGAGTGGGGAAAAGTAACTTTTAGCGACACATTTACGTCGGTAAATGTTGCCATTTGCCGACGATTTGTTTGTCGCTAAAGCTTTACTTTTGGCAACGACAAATTAGCATTGGCAAAAAATACACTTCTACCAACACAATATGAGTGGGGAAAAGTAACTTTTAGCGACACATTTACGTCGGTAAATGTTGCCATTTGCCGACGATTTGTTTGTCGCTAAAGCTTTACTTTTGGCAACGACAAATTAGCATTGGCAAAAAATACACTTCTACCAACACAATATGAGTGGGGAAAAGTAACTTTTAGCGACACATTTACGTCGGTAAATGTTGCCATTTGCCGACGATTTGTTTGTCGCTAAAGCTTTACTTTTGGCAACGACAAATTAGCATTGGCAAAAAATACACTTCTACCAACACAATATGAGTGGGGAAAAGTAACTTTTAGCGACACATTTACGTCGGTAAATGTTGCCATTTGCCGACGATTTGTTTGTCGCTAAAGCTTTACTTTTGGCAACGACAAATTAGCATTGGCAAAAAATACACTTCTACCAACACAATATGAGTGGGGAAAAGTAACTTTTAGCGACACATTTACGTCGGTAAATGTTGCCATTTGCCGACGATTTGTTTGTCGCTAAAGCTTTACTTTTGGCAACGACAAATTAGCATTGGCAAAAAATACACTTCTACCAACACAATATGAGTGGGGAAAAGTAACTTTTAGCGACACATTTACGTCGGTAAATGTTGCCATTTGCCGACGATTTGTTTGTCGCTAAAGCTTTACTTTTGGCAACGACAAATTAGCATTGGCAAAAAATACACTTCTACCAACACAATATGAGTGGGGAAAAGTAACTTTTAGCGACACATTTACGTCGGTAAATGTTGCCATTTGCCAACGATTTGGTTGTCGATAAAGCTTTAGTTTTGGCAACGACAAATTGGCATTGGCAAAAAATACACTTTTAGCAACACAATATGAGTAGGCAAAAATAAACTTTTGGCTACACATTTACCGACAAGTTATTTGTCGAGAAAGCTTTACTTTTTTAACAACGACAAATTTACAACGGCAAAAATAATTCAAACTCATTTATAATTTTTTAAAAGATTTACAGCTTTACAAGAGGCATCCCTCAGGCACCACTATAACAAACTAATAACATTGATATGAAATCACACAAAATACCCCCTCCATACCCTTCCATCCAAAACACCAGCAGTTGCCCGAAATTACACCTAATGACAACCCCCATTAATGAAAACCTGATCTATTACAGATTGGACAAAAAGTCCTGCACCCTTCCAAACATCAACAACACCGCAGCACCTCATCGTAACAATCACCATCACAGCAGCATCACCACAGCATCTCAGCAACAACAGCAACATCACAGCAGCACCAGAAGAATAGCAAATTAGTATAGCAGATCAGCAAACTGATGCAACAGAGATCATCACCAGTTCAGAAAACCATTTCAACTCAACAACCCAAACAAAATCATATAACCAAATCAGAATTGACGCAGCAATTAACCTTATTTACCAGAACAGTCAGAAAACAAATCAAACAAAACCAGCAACAAAACTATACAAAATGCTCAGAAATCAGTTTACCATGTTTGTCATCCATCAATTGTTCAAACAGCCCTCAAAACTATACAATTCTTAGTAACTTTTAAGCCATCAGGTTAACAGAAGTCAAGTAAAAATTCAAACTAATTCACTGGCTGTCATGTTTACACTAGGAGAGTAAGTTATATAAAAACACTCAATTCAAGTACACCACAATGTTTACCAAGCTAACCTTATACCAATGCACTGGAAACAGTAAAAGTAACTAAGCATTGGGATTGTCCATACACCACAATGTTCACTGATGGCTCTCTTCATTGCTTTAGAATGTGACCAGGTTTTCAAAGTAGTCAGTCAATCCAGTGTTACATATGAGTGACAAGCAGCAGCAGCAGATTCCACTTTTGACTGACCAATATATGCTTCAGTATGGATAATCTGCAGTATAGTAATACAAGTTAGCTGATGAAGAATTACAAATTTGATTCTCTCCCTGGAAGCACTTATAGCAATATCATCATCATCTCCATCAAAGAAGATTTACAAATATCAGAATACAATTGAGAGTCCTACCTGCCTGTGCAGATTGTTAAGCTCAACTACATCATGATCAACAATACCTAAGCGACCTAGAAAGATTTAAAAACAACAAAATAGTTAGTTTCCGAAACAAAAAGTCCTAATGTAAGATTATATATTATGATTCCATTGAAGCACCCATCCATTTAGAGTGATGTTCAAACCACTTTTGATTATTACAAAGCAAGCTTTTTTTCTTTTTTTCTTTTGGTCTGGTACAGATGAAGACAAGCTATCAACAACAAATCTCTATCAACTAACAGAACCCAGAATAGGAAACACCTGATGTACCACAAGAGCATCAGCTTTTGTGCTTTCTTTTCTTGATGGTATTACATCAGGCATAATTGAGAGTAGACATCTTACCAACACCACAGGCAGCAAGGTACAAAAGAGCAGGTGATCCCAACCCTCCAGCTCCAACAACTAAAATTGAAGCCTTCAAGAGACTTGACTGTGCTGTAATCAACCAGGAAGGATAAACAAAAGATAAGGTGATACCAAATCAATATTACAATGACCTTATAGATGAACCACGAAGCTAGATTGTTGTTTTCTAAAAAGCCTGGGTTTTATCTTATATAATATGCAATCCAAACCATTTTGCAATAAATTTAGTTTGTTTATCACCACTGATTTATAAGAAAAACAACACTATAATTTTCACAACAATTGCTGCATATATCCAATCTAACAGATAAAAATTTTAAAAAATATATATAGAAAAATTGATGTACTACTCCCCTAAATTTTACGTTTCATGAAATGTAAATTCCTGGCCACTCACTATAATTATTTAGGTTCAAAAAGTAAAACAGTATAATAAGAACACAACCAAAACATGGATTCGATGCACCTACATCTTTCGAGTGTGTTCATTTGCAATTGCATATCTATGCATCTCTCTCTATATATATGGATAAGTAAGTAAGTAGTAATCAAACCTTGAACACCAAAGGAAGGAAGCAAGAGCTGACGACTATATCTGTAGATCATATCGGGCGACAATCCATGGCCAAAACCTGAGTCACCGTTTGACAGTGGAGGGCACGATCGAGTCGAATTCGTCTTGGTCTCGTCCTTTTCATCGATATCACGAAGTTGAGCTTCGAGATCTGATATTCGGCGCTCGATTTCACTCTTCGCAGACTTCAAATTCTCAATTTCGCGGAGAATTCGAGACGACTCACCTCCGTTGGCCTCCATTATTGCTCTCTTCTCTCTGCTCAGACAGTGCGAGTAGTTTCCCAGGGTTTTGAAGTTAGTGAGAACGAAGCTCGCAATAAACCCTAACTGAGAATAAAGGTATATGGGTTGGTCAATGAAAAATTAGTTTTTCATTAGTTCCGTCACGTGTCCTATCTTACATTAATCACAATTCATCCTATCGCTCATGTTTCGTAATCTCAACACAAATTCGTAAACTACTCACTTAATACAAATTTATAAATTTCATTTTTTTTAATCAATTACAATAATATTAAGATGTCACATGTCGATTTTGATCAATCACAGTAACATTGAAACACCATAGGACATCAAAGACTAACCAATAACTTTTCATCGAGAACGCCAGTGAGCCAGCGAGCACCTTCATAATGAATTCGGATCATCGGTCGCACTTTCCTGCGGCCCTCCCTACCGTCCTCTCCAAAACGACGTCGTTTTACTTGG